CCCGAGCGCAATTTTAGCCCGTTTTGTTAAAATCGCTGACTGTATACATACATACATACATGAAAAATTATCATTCCAAAAACTTTCTACATACATTCTCCCCATTTTGTTCGCATAATGTATACACAAATTTTCATTAATAAACTTTTTTATCGATTGCTATAATTTACATCTACAAAAATATCGATGTCAAGTTTGTTATCATTTCAACAGATCGAATAAAAATATATCAAAATCACAAAGTAGGTGGTTAGAACCGCTATTGAATCTTCTTTAATTTAAAAAAAAAATCTGCTCAAAACCACAATTACTTTGAGAGATATAACGGTGGAGACGTAAAAAAACATGTTTTACATATTAATCCATTTTTTCGAGTTTTTTGAAATTAAAATGTTCACGACCAAAAAATGTCGTAAAAAGTGATTTCGTGTACACGACCACCTAATTGGAGAAATGGACCAGGTTTTACCTGGTTCTACGCCAGTTTTTTTTATCTCAGAAACTAAGCGACTTTGCTCTCGAAATTCGCTCGTCTACAAACGAATGATTGAGTTGAGAGATCAAGCAAAACGAAAATTTAGAAAAATTAATTCTAATAATGATTGAAAGAGCTACACTGATCTCAAAAAGTATACCACCGGAGATATTCGCAGGGAGAAAAGGCCTACCTTGACTTTATTCTTGCTCAAAAACACTCTAAATCAATTTGGATACTCTTGGATCTCTCGAAATCTTGCGGAAGCCCTGAAATCCCTATCGAATTAAGGAACGTCAACTCAATCAATCATTATTTTAGTAGTATCACACATCCTGATAAATCCAACGCTCAGCTTTCCTTACTTGATCGATACGATGATGTACTTGTAGAAAATCAATTTCAATTTCTACCTACCTATCTCCGCTGAATTACTCAGAAAGTATATACTTCGAATAAAAAGCAATGCCGTCGGATCTGACTACATTTCTATCAAGATGATATTACTTGTTGAATAACAGCTACTGGATCACATTACCTTCATCTTCAATTCTATCATCTCCACTGGTATATCCCCTTCTATATGAAAACAAGCTCTAGTGATACCTCTGGCGAAATGTAACAAACCCTCTGATTTCACAGACCTCAGACCTATAAGCATCTTACCTTCTCTATCCAAAGCATTAGAAATAATATTGGAAGATCGAATGAATGATTTTATAGAACAACAAATACTACTGCTCTCCTTTCAATTACTGATGACATTCTTCGGGCGGGGGACCTTGGTAATATCACTTGTTTGGTTCTCTTGGATTTCAGTAAGGCATTTGACACCCTTGATCACAAATTACTGTGTAAATAACTCAGTTCCTTCGGATTCGCTCCTGAAGCAGTCAATCTCATATCCAATTACCTAACCAATCGAACACAAAGAGTCATTTTAGATGGAGAAGTGTCTGAGGAAGCATCTGTTAGATTCGGGGTACCTCAAGGATCTATCTTGTGTCCTTTTTCATTCTCTTTGTATATATCAGACCTGAATCATTTCATCAATAACTGTACAGTACACCACTATGCTGATGACACGCAGATTTATCTTTCATTCACGCCTTATAATTTGCAGGAGTCACAAAACTCTATAAATGAAGATTCGAATTCTCTGTTTGACATTTCATGTGCACACAACCTGAAGCTCAACTCTAGGAAATCTATGGTGATGCTATTTGGCTCTAAAAAAGTAAGAGAGTCTGCAACTGATCTGAAAATCAACGTAAATCATACTCTTCCTATTGTGAATGAATGCAAGAACCTTGGTATTTGGATGGACACAGATCTGAGATTCAAGAAACATGTGAGTTATTCATGTCAATCATCATTCAACGTCTTGAGGCAGTTGTATCCAAATAGAGATATTCAATCCACTAATCTCAAACTCAAATTTTGCGAGTCTCTTATTTTTTCTAAGTTATCTTACTGTGACAGTATTTATGGTTCAGCTACAGACTCCCACCGCCTCCAACGTATTCAAAAATCCTGCGTGCGATTTTCTCATGGAATACGGAAATTCGACCACATATCAGCTAAAACGGTCGCTTCAGGTTGGTTGAGGTTAGAACAATTGAGACATCTGCATCTGCTGACTCAAGTGCATAAAGTCTTGACCACAGGTAAACCTGAATACCTTCACAAACGACTGAAAACATTTTCACAAATCGATAATCAATCATCCAGTCGCAATAGATCTACACTTGTCATTCCAAAACACAGAACCACAATGTTCAAACGTAGTTTTTCATGTAACGCAAGTAGATGTTATAATACACTGCCCAGGGAAAATAGATCCTACACTCTCAGTAACTTCAAGAAAAGATTGAAGCTTATTATTTCTACTGTTAGTTAGGTTATTGCACAATGAAATCTGGCCATGTCATCTTGATTCTCTTCTATACATGTAACGAGCTACATTACTTTTTGCTTATTGATCATTTCATCGTTTTCGCTATATTTATCGAAAAATTAATTGTTTCCTATAGTTCATTTCTTTCGGGTTGAGTTAAAAAACAGCTTTATGCTGATACTTCGCCTTTTCGTCATTGCAGTTTGTGTCTGATTGTGTAAAATATTTTGTTTTTTTTGTTCATTGTTGTTCTGCAGAAGATGAATAAAGATGTATTATTATTATCATTAATATTATATTATGATGTAGTATTCAGTGAATCTTTCACGAATGAGCTCACTTCAATAGAAATCGTATGAATGTTCCACAAATGTCTTGCTATAGGAAAAAGAATCTGATTATAACAACCCCTACCAAAACATGGTTGTTCATCTAACATTCAGAGAAGTTATTCGCCTAGGGAAATAACTCAAGGAGCTTATTATCTGAAAAAGTTAAAAATAGTAGATTATAATCTCAGGGATTGAAGTGTTACTTTCAATCTTGATGTGAAAAGTTTGAAGCTCCACCGGCCACACACACACCACGCCCCCCGAAAGGTTGAATGCCCAGGATCAAGTGCCGCCATATAACTAGCTTACGTTATATGATAGCTCCTCATCCCAATGTCCATCCACCCCCACTCACTAACTAGTGGACTTCAACCTTATGCATTTGACAATCTGCATATGTTTTATAAAACCTCACTTGGTTTCAGTCTTCCGACTTTCAAACCTTTTTGTCTAATGTGTGTTTCCTAGCCTGACTTTGCGTGGTGGTTCCCCTTCCCTAATTTGAAGAAAAATTGAGTTTATGTCTTATTATTATTGGTTAAATTTTTATAGGGTCTCCAATTTCGGCAACACCCTGTATACCATTCAATCAAATGTATTGTTTTCGTATGTTCTGAGATGGATGAAAATGAAAAATATTCGTAATGAAAATCTGAAATAGGTGAATAACTCGTTGATTGACTGGGGTATATATACTACTGCAATGATGGCTATAATTCTTTCTGAATATGACGCGGCTCGTGGTATAATCTACTATTATTAGGCAACGATACTAACTCATGTTTTCAATTAAGCGGAACAATTCAGAGATTTCTCGATCAATTTCAATATGATCATTTTATATGAATCAACAGAGCGTTATTCTGTTGATATTTTCAAATGACAAAAGCGCTTATTTTCATATTCTAGCAAATGTTGTTATTTGTTGCCTTATTCAGAATATTTCCATCAGGTAAAACAAATCAACTAGAAAAAAGCCAAAACGTATAATACCTTATAATCATTGTTCTGCATATTGTACGAATGGTTTGAAAACAAAACAATTTTTCCAATTTCAAGTACCTTCTGATGTGAATCATTATATGTTTCATTGATTCAGGGAGATAACCTTCATGTACATTGTTTTAGTACAAAAAAATCTGAATCACAGTAATTGGATTCTTAGATTCTAACCAGTCACTAAATTATATTCAATAACACGCTGAACACAACACGCGACATGGAATCCTGAAAAACTGAATTTTGCTATCTTCTTTTCATTCAATTATAGGAAAACCGATCAATTTCTAACTTAAACTTCTCCGAAGTGATTTTTCGCGAGGAATTCTATAATCCCACATTTATTATAACAAACGAAGATATAAACAACGACAGTCAACTTTTTTCTCGTTGACATTCTGGTTTCATCATCGAAATTTCCTAACGAACAATTTTTCGAAGATGAACGTGGAAACAAATTCATCTTGACAGTTCAGCACAGTTTTCACGCTGGAAATTCACTCTTGTAGATTGCGTAACACCGATATCAAATAAAGAACAGAGATATGAATATGTTAGATCAGCCTTTCCTACACCTAAGTCTATCCATTTTTAAAATATGCATATAATATGGTTTGGTTCGCAACTTCTTATTGAGAATTGATAACTTTCTCACATTTGCCCATATATCGGATTTATTTTTATTCGAAAAATGATCGATTTTCCTTTTTTTATATTCATGCATGAGGAAACGATAACCTAGAAATCTTTATGCAGGACAAAATTGGTGATAGTCAAATAGGTACCCATAACTAATTTTCTCTAAATGGTTTTTTCCTTTTACTAAATGAGTAAATGAGAATTTAATTTCGCAGCGGTCTGTATCAATATTCCTTATAAAAGCTGCAAGTACTGTTTTTTATTTTTTGCCATGGAAATGGAAAATTTCCGGATCTTGTGGTATGTATCTGATAGGTATTACTACTCGGCATGATTATACTGTATTCAGTTTGATATTCAATTAATTTCTTCAGAGTTCGTATAACCATAACCATTAACACTTCAGATGATGGACATGTGCTTAAATTTTATTACAACAGACTAAAATGAGCAACTGTACAATATGTGAAAGGAATCAACTTGCGCCATTGGATACATCTTCACTTTTCTGGTCATGAAGGAGGTGATCTTGTTATCCTAATTTGATTGTCAATTGTCCAGAGTGGGGTTGTCACATTCAGGAATATTTCACTATATAAACTCGTTTACCATTCATACTATCAGTAACAATTCATTTGCGACTCAAATTCATCCAAAAATGTGCAATAACAAAATGGTGAGTATTGAGTATGTCTCATTAATGTTTTACTCAGAAAGTACATAGGTCAAGAAAATTAATAATGAGTGAACCACGTTCCAGAATGCAATTAAAATAGTTAGGTACCAAACGATGAAGTTAATGCGAATCTGAAACTTCAAAGTTTCAGAGCAAAAATTCGAGTACCTATTATTTTCACATGTATAGACCTACTTATTTTCCATCCTCCAAATCAATCATTTCAAATTGAGAGTAGTACCTAATATTGCCTCTGGATAAAGATACTTCAAAGAAGCTTCACAAATATTGAGAATATTTCGAAGAATTTCTATAAGCATCTTAGAATACATGAATATGTCAGTTTCTACCAAATATCTTGATATCAACTAGGTTAAAAACTCAATACTATAGGAGCTCATTACTCCGAGTACTTGTACATATAAAACTCTTCTGTCGATGATAGCACCTCGACGATCTCTAACAGACAATGTGGAAAAATATTCATATGAGACATGCTATTATTCAAATGGGTGATTCTTCAACTCATTCTAAGAAAAAAACTACTACTAACCTATATCCTAAAATTCTCAACCTTTGAGATACAGGTTGATGAAGTTTGAAGATTAATCAGTTTTTCAAAAATAACTGGGAATATAATTATTGTAGACATCTTTATACAAGGGAAGCCCAAACGGGAATTTCGGGATTTACTCGAGTGCGGCAGATTAACGTAAGGAGGTATCCTTGGACCTTGTGAAGTACTCCAACCATACCTGGGCCCTTGATATGGTATCGCAAGTTTAGGGCAGCTGATCAGATTAGTGAAAAACATCGATCGTCAGAAACACTCGAGCGCGTCAGTTTGAGACATGGTACGTTAATTACATGCAGACAAGTGGTGCATCTCATTAATCTGACGATTTGAGCATGACATAGCCACAAAGTTGCGAAAATAATCTTTATCTGTACATTCTCGAGCGCGGTTAATTTTTTTCTTATTTTGAAGGCAATTAGTCACGGATCACAGAAATAACATAATCTGCCGATTTGCACAAGCCGAAGTAGCAGAAATCATCAATTAAGTGTGGTGTTTGCAGCCTCTAGGAACTATGTATATAATTGTGGTAACGTAGGAAACTGAAAAAAAAGTATCACTTCGGTTATTGTTTGCAATTCTTGAACCTTGTCAGTTCATAAGGAGGAATCTGAAAATACAACAAAATACAAGGTGTATCCTGTAAGTGACCCTGTATAACGCAAAATATTTCAGAAATGTACTACTCATAAGACTAGACCATCTCAAGAATTATTATTCATCTATCTCAAACAGCAAAGCCGTTATCCCACTTTGCCATTCTATCGGTCCACACTGTATGTCTACATGAGCCTTAGTCCATCCCAAAATTGTGGATTCTTTGAGCTGTTGAAGCCCTGCTACGATAAACTGACCTAACCTGTATTTATTAAATTTTCGTTGTTATATTTAGTCACAGTTTAAACTGTGATTTAGTTAACAAACAAAAATCCAACCGTCTGATTGAGGTAATTCCTCTACCTATTTGCCAGATTATGGGTCGATACGACAAGGACATAAAGATGAAGCGTCTGTATAATAATCTGACGAGCTCGAGTATTCCGAGGTAACTTTTTTTTTTTTTCAAAAATTGATCATGATCTTTGGTCGCGTCCAAATCGTCAGTCTTTTGAATAGGAGCTACTTGAGGATTCATCTAACGTCCCTTTTTAATATCTGACGCTCTCGAAGAATTTTTTTTTTCACCTTTTCTTCATCCCTTCGTACGGCCACCCCCACCATGCAAACCGGCAGATTAATATTTTTTGGTTATCAGAAACACGTGAAGGGCATACAGTATCAATATCTGATGCGCTCAAGTATTTCCATGTGACTGTTTTTTTCTTTTGATTTTTGAACACCTGTACACCTTCTCACCACCAGTGAAAGGTCATTCTTCACAATCTGATACGTCTAGTATTTAGCCTCTTTGCCTCCCCTACTATTATGGAATTTGGTGCATATCTTCCATGCATCAAGGTGCATTTTTTGATGTAAACAATGGGTCCTTTGGCGCCGTTATGAGAATATGATCGATTATATTATACTGAGGAGTGAGTAACGAAAAAATGTTCTCAAATTTCATACAATGCTAAAAAAAAGTCATTAAGTTTTGTACAAAAAATATTCTCTCGTTGATACCCGATAGGACGCTTCGTTTACGAGAAAAAACGAGAAAACGAGATCAAACTTCAAATTTTGATGTAAATGCGAAGCTGAGCTGAGACAAAAAAGGATCTATGTATATGTTGAACTTTGATATCCTGTATCTCAAAAGTTAGAACTTTTACGACATACGTTCACATGATGTTTCATTCTTGAAATGGGTCTAAGAATTGCCCTCTTGAATATGAGCATGTCATTAAGGAACACCCTGTATATCAATACTTTCAAGGATATTTGGCTTTTTCGAATGAAGTGGACAGAGTGACAATCAAATAATATAATCATAATAAATATAAATATGAAATAATCAAAATAATAAGACCTGGAGATTATCTCGTTATCTGCCCTGTAATAATTTCGACAACTCCGAAAAAATTCACATGCGGATTTCAGTCTTCTGAAAGCGGCAATGATACTCATTCATTTTGAACTTGTTCAGTTTGCAAGATGAAATCACTCATTTATTGAAGAATTATACTGAAGTATTCGATATATGGAGTTTGTTCAAGAAAACCTCGTACTGTTAAATTCATAATTGCATAAACCTGTTCAAATTATTGTCCCCTGTATCAAAGCTCATGAAGTTTTCAGATCACATTCTGAAAAATGGAGTATGTCTAGGTACCATCATTGTAACAGAACTGATAAGTATGAAGTTGTATAGTTGTCTTTAGTTGAACGAAAATTTGATGGAATAGAAACTCTCTCACTTCCCCTAAGTGTGACTGAGAGAGGACCAAATGACCCGTTCAAACAAACGGAACAGAGTTTTTGTTTATGTCTTCGTAGTCGTTAGACATAGAGCGCCTCGAACATCTCATAACACATCGTAGAAACCATCCATATTTCTCAAAGTGGTCCAATAGATTTTTAGAACAAGAAGCAATAACAGTCCCACAGTCTGTCGACCACCAAAATATTTTTAATGAAGTAGTGTAACTGGTCTCGCAAAAAAAATAATGCTATATATATAATATAATGCTGATCTGGTTTTGCTGGACTTTTTCCAGATTTGAACATATTTTGAATTCAGAACTGATATTGTGAACTTCGACCAAGGCTTTTGATTTCATTTTATTTTTTGCTCTTGATATGTATTGCTGAAGTACTTCCAAATACATAATTTTTGTGTCTGGTGATGGTCTGTGGCCGAAACTAGTTACACTACTTATTAAAAAATATTTCGTGGCCGACAGACTTTGGGAATTCTATTGCTTTTTCTTCTAAACATCTCATAACACGCCCGTTTGGACATATAATTTCCAAACCTGGTACCGCTGAATTCTTATTGCAAATTCCAAACCAAACATGGATGACCTAATATGTAAGAAGTGGAAAATGATTTTTCATGAATACTTTATTTTTCAAATGAAGCGGCCAAAGTACATATTGAAGAACAATCCCAATAGTCTTCTGTATGACCTCCAGATCTGACACACAAGAATTTTCATTCCAATTATGATATTGTCTCACCACATGGAAATTATATAGAGTTCGAAAGGCCAGAGATTGAATGTTATGAATAGAGGCTTTTCGAATTCAGCAGAGTATAGAAATAGATTCTGATTGGGTATATAATTTCATGTGAATTTGATTTAATATGTGCCGGTCACACGAAGCTTTCGACAGACCATTACATATTTTTTTGCACGACCGGGCGTAAAGTCCCACTTTAACGTTCGGTGTGGCGGTTGTGAAGTAGCACTTTACTGCCTGCGGACTAGTTCATTGCCCGGCGTATAGGTTACTAATAATGAGCATTTCTATATGATTCAGAGACAGCAAATATAATAGTCCACTCCTATTTAAAAAAATGTAGTTGATAACGAAATGATATATGTCCCAAGGGCATGTTAATACGTACTTTCATCAAACGGCACCTGTCCCAATCACTATGCTGACCAAATTGATTGAACAATGGCACTTCTCAGTGCGGTTTTTGCACCTAACTTCGCGATGTGATAACGAGATGAGAATCATGCCACCCGATACCAATTGAATGGTAGATCACAAAAACCTATCTGTACTTCCTCTCAATATGAGCCAAATCCACGGCACCGCGATTTATTTGCTGCCGTTACTCCAGACATTATTTCGTCATGTGATAACGAGTTGAAACAGAGAGCAAATAGAAGGGAAAAATGTCCCCTCCGCAAATAAATCAACGTGTCGCGATTTGATCTGAAGTAAGTTAGTGGCAGAGCGTCAGTATTTCCGAAAATATTTCAGCCCTCTCGAAAGATAATATCCGATGGACAATTGTTAAGCCCAACATATGGATTCGAATAATTGTTGCGAGCCCCACATGAGTTTTACACTGGTCCGTCGGATATTAACTCCCAACGGAATATTCAATTTTTATCGTCCTTGTGAGGTGAAGATGTATTCACAATGAAAAATCAATTATAGCGGTCGAGCAAAGAATGTTGGATGTCTTTCAGGCGTAACTTGCTTCCATGGACCTTGGCGTGTTTATAGCCTTCTGAACCTTAGAGTAACCCCATGTCATTTCTTTATAAACACTGTAATAATCCTGAGTCAAGTTATAAAAAAATACCAAGTCAATCTCCCCAGAATCCTGAGTGAATATCTATTTGATTCCATTCTGTTTCAGATAACGTTCATTGCCCTGCTGAGTATCTGTTCTGCGGCTCGACTGGATAACCTATACTTACCGTCATCAGGTTAGTCAACTTTAATTGGTTATATCAAGAAAGATATAGTCCGAGTCATCTCTTATTGTTCAGTGGGGGACTAAATGTTATTTTCGAATCTAATGCGTGAGCGCCTAGAACCGTCCTTATTCTATACTAGCTGTCCGGTCCGGCTTCGCCCGGTTGGTGTACTAATTCAAAAAATTGTCATTTGTTGCAGTCGTTCTGAGCTACGCGCGTGTATACAGTTCATATTCTCTGTTATGTTCTGGATTTGTGTGCCTACCTTCAGCTTCTATTATGTACCTACACCTATTCCCCCTGTATGATACCATGGGAGTACACATACAAAATTTCAACCCAATTGGTCAAGCTGTCTAGTAGTTGCCGTACCAACAGCAGCGCCACCTACCGCGTCGAATTGTATTTTTCATCCAGGAGACCATCGAAATACCCATATAGAATTTCAACTCAATCGGTTCAGCCGTTCAAAAGTATGTGAAGAAGATAAGTGCGGAATGAAAATTCTCACTACATGTGATCCTATTACCCGTTTCTCAAAGAAATGAAGCATTTCATCGCGGTGAAAAGTATCTCATGTCCATCAGGAATAATATCGGCTATTGATGGTGGAAGAATTTCTTGAACCTGTTCAGTAGTTTACAAACAAACTGACGAACAAACAAACAACCGAACAAACAAATCTCCCACCTTTATAATATCAGTATATATAGATAAATGAAGCAAACATTTATTTCATTTCATATGAAACACCTTCAATATTTTCATAGTTCAGTTGGGAAGTAGATATTATGTTTATTCATCATCGATTCAGCTATCAGAAACGGAAAAGATTCTGCAATTCTTTCGTCATGCATATAGAGTATCTGGAAAGAATATACAGGGTGTCATTAGAATTAAAATGTGTTGTAGATAATATCGAATATTTCTGATGGTGAATCTTTCACTCCAAGAATTCCTGAGATATGCTCTACTCCTTCTTCTTTTTTTTTCTTCGAAGCACTGGTGGGCGGATGAACACCCCTGCACGTATGCCTCCTTATTCGGGACCATAGTGCGACCACATTTTCCGGCATTCAGCTGGGTATCAATCAATCAATCAGTATGTTGTCGGGGTAGCAACCGGAACCAAATCCCACCCCCATCTCACAAGACTAACATATCTTTCGACTTATACCGACAGCACCCCCGGGAGAAATGGAGGATTTGGAAACGTCAAATCAGCGCGCTAGAGTCATCTCCGTTATATATCGGCATGTTCTTCAGCCAACATTTTATTATACCAATGGTGAGGTCGTCTGATGAGACAGACTACTGGCTCTCCAGTGTCAGTGCCCGAGCAGAAACGCTGCTCACCCGCCCAGGCAGGCAAGATATCCTTCCACTTGACCCATAGTGGGATTCTTCTTCACCTCTTCTACCGTAGTCCGGTGGTGTTTTTTGGAAACCGCTGCCCCCTGGAGTCCAACCCAATTAGTGAGGCATCAGGCCGTATATCCCTATGTACGACCTGATGGGGCAATGCTCATCACCCCAGGTACCCATGTCAACGAGATTCATCTTGTTACGTTTAATGGGTCACCGTCGCAAGAGGCTTCGGCCTGATTGCTACTTATGTTGACAAGAATCCTCTCGTCCCGTTGAAAGAGTTATCGTTCGAGGACTTTAACACATTCCTCTACCTCGTTTACAGAAGAGGAACCAGTTTTGCCTACGATGACTGGCGGTAGGATTGCTTGGGGCTGCTTCCCCTCTTGACGGACTAAGGCACCAAGTACATCAAAGTTCCATTTTTCGATGAGCAAGCCCAGCTACCCATGTCGACCGGAATCCTCCAGTCCCGTTTGATGGGTGTCCGTTTGCGGCCTTTTACACGTACCGCTACCATGACAGGAGTGGAGACCTCAAGCTTTCAACCAGTGGTGTCATGAGTCACCTGGGACTACCCCCACTCCGACGCCGTGAGTACATGGTGGTTTCAGCTGGGTATGTCGACTTTCTTGTAGAAGTTCAGCAGCTTCCTCAGCTGAATCTTCTTCAAGTCCTCTGGCCTCAAAATTATGTTTTCAAGGTCAGTTCTCCTCTGATGTGGCAGTTCTGAGCACTCAGTTAGGACATGCGATGACGTTTCGTAATCTTCCAGCTCGAAGAGGGATCATCTTTGCCCCGTAAGGAGCCCTATCACATCTTCAAGGTTTCGCCTGTTGAGAGAAAATATCTCTTTTGTCAGCCTCTACGAAGGTCTTGCCATATTTTGAGGAATTGCTTTTGGACCTATGGCGGTCATTGCTAGACAGTTTGGTATTCCCAAGATTGGTTCCTTCCGACCAGGGTCCGTGTCCGATCTTGGTTAGTCTGTCTGTTTCTTCGTTTCCGGGTATCCCCGAGTGTCCCGAGACCCACATGTAGCTAATTCTTCTTGATTCTGACAGGTTTTCCATTGGATTGGATATTGGATTGGAAAGCCAGTATTACAGCTTCGCTGTTCAAGCATATTGTGATTGGTCTACGCCCTCTCATAATCAGGTTTTCTTGGTGTATTGCAAGTACTTAAGCTCGGAATACTGAGGCATATTCGCCCAAACGAACCAAGATTTCTGTTATTGTTCCTTCGCAGTATTCGGAATTTTCAAACTTCTGAGGCGGCAACTTTTTTCTGATTCAACCGACTTCGTATCTGTTATAGTTACTAGGATTCCAATGATATCCGTCAAATTTGGGACACCATGTACTGTAGGCATTTCTTTCTGCGAGCACCCAAGGATATCCTGGACGTAACAAGATTGAGTATTTCCCATTGCGAGCTCCTAAAGTGATCACGAAGATAACCTGAATAATTAATTGAAAAAATATTGAGTTGTTTTTCCAATTGCCTTTATAATTCAAATACTGGGTGTCCCAAGTTATCGTATTCAGGCAATATCTCGCCTATTTGTCAAGATATCAAGAACATAAAAAAACTGCATTGAATGGCATTGAATAACCTTCCTAATGGCTTATGAAGAATGTGATATATATTTGGCAGCCCCCTGATGGTAGATAGCGAATTGTCTCTGAAAATTGCGTGTCAATCTATTCGAGATACAACGATATAGCACATACTTGGTGTTTTGTTCATTGATAACAACGAAAACATGAACATTTTGTGATTTTTCCACGGTACTTGAATGAAAAATTGCTTTCACTCATGTGTTCAAATAGTTCACAGATAAAAAGTATGGAATGATTTTTTATTTTCGATAAATTGATGACAGATATTCCATTTTGAAGTGCAGAACATCAATCATTGCAGACGGTACCTACCTAGTGTAATAGTTAATCTACTTTTATTGTTGGAAATTTTCACAAACATGGGAGGAGGCAATTTTCAATCGATGTTACGTAAATTAGGTCAAAAAATTTCATTGTTCTTGTTGTTATCAATACACAAAATGCAAAGTACCGATGTGCTATTGTTCTTTTCGAAAATAGGATGATGGGCAATTTTCAATGTCAATATACAGGGAGTCCATTCAATTAAAATTGAGAGGTAACTACCAGGAGGCTGCCCAATCTAATACATTGTTTTTCAGTCATAAAGAAATTTGATGATGATAATTATCTGCTCTGTGCTCGCCTGATGGCATTGTATGAGAATTTCTGCGTGGGCGGATATCTTCAAGACCTCGATGAGCTCAACCTGGGTTGCGGACATTTGGAGGAGATATAGCGCTCTCGGCGATCTCTCAAAGAAGTTACAAAAGGCATCACAATTTCCTAGAAGGATATCTTCAAGATATCTTGATGACCTTTTTGTGCTGCCTGGGAAGATTGAAACGTTTTCGCGTTCCAGTCGTCTTGCCAGTTCGTCTAAATAAGTGAACGCGGGGGTTTCGCCACGCTTAAAGAAACACGAGATCATGATGAACACACTTCAGGCTCTAACAGATTTTGCTATTTGCACAGAACTTTTCAAACGATTGATTGTGGAGGCACTAACTTTATTATTCTATTTACTCACATGCTCTAAATATGTTTGAAAGTCATTACTGCACATACATTTGATAAGAATTTTGTGCAAATTTTTTTAGTTGAATTTCATTCATTTTTCTTTCACTTTGAAGTGGTCACTATATAATGAGTAAAATGAAACTTTTATGAAACTGGGGCATATGTTTTGTAATTAGATAGTATTTATGTTATAACTTTGCTATATTATGGATTATTATTTATCAATGTCTAATTAACTGATTCATTCTCAGCATGCCGAGAATTTAATATATGAAAATGCAATCACAACAGGACAGTACAATTTTTGTATCTAGAGCGCGAAATGCTACTTTGGTGATCGAGATCTGAGTTACAAAAATAGTCGAGATGACCAAATAAGTATTTCGCGCTCGAGTTGCAAACAACATTTTTTCTACAAACGTCAAAAAATATAGTCCTTAAGTGATAATATGCTCAGCTCATAAAAAATAGTGTTGAACTGGCTTGAAAGGCCTCCCCCTATCCTTCCTAGGTACGCACGATATTCTATGCTTTCAGACAACTTTTTTGATTTCGGAATGAAAATTCAGCAGATTTAGTACAGTCAGTTGAATTCGGAATATAGCATGAGTTATAACGCATTTTTCATTCACCCGTTTGACAGCACTCAACATTTTTGATGACTGAATAAATCATTTGGAGTTCAATGATATGAAAAGTTGAAAATATAATAAGAGATATAACAAGATTTCAAATCGGAATTATAAAGTAGAATAAGCAATAAATGAAATGACAATGATAACTTTGATTGGATTGGAGTTTCTACTTCATAAATTATATATAATTATCTACTATTCGAATAAGTACTAAAGATGCATCGATTGTGATCAATAGTTCAGGACTGTTAGAGTTCATGTGACTGGGTTGTTTTATAACTAGTGAAATATGTAGCTCTTTCCTCGCTGAATTGCTACCCATATATTCATCTAAAGACTGAGTTTACAGGGCTTATCCGTGTTATATTTATGAGTGAGTTAATCTTCTAGGAGGCAATGGAGGCAACGGGAATGGAGGTGGCCAGAATGGAGGTGGTGCTAGTGAAGAGCCAGAAATTCCAATAATCTCATATGAAAATGTGAATAATGGGGATGGAAGTTATAAATGGAGGTGAGTTGACAAAAAAGTCATGATCCCATATCTGCGATGTTCTTTAAATATTCTGATAGAAAAATTAGTAAGTTCATCCGTTAACCAGTATACCTAGAATTTGATTAGAATGATTGTATTGTATGACCAGATTACTCTATAGTGGAGGATGAGAGCTATCATTTGTGGTTTGAGGCATTTGATCCTTCAAAAATAAATCAGATACCACTTCCACACATTCGAATGAAATGAGAAATACATAGTAGAGTATGGAGGCATGATTGACAAAAAATTGAATTCGTCAATTGTTCATCTTTGAAGTAATACAACCAACGATCGAAGGTGTCATCGAATACGAATATTTCAGAGGGTTTATTAGGTTATTTCGATTAAAAAATAACACGTGAAACAATTTGAAGGAAAGAACAGTATTTTCGAATACATTGTGGTTGGATTTTAGAATAATTATTCTTCATCTGATTCCACTATCTAGTTATCTCATTGGAATTTATTGAATACTCCTCATGCATCGAGCTGAGTTTTCTGACCCTCAATATTTTTTTCAACCACTCGCATTTTCTCTGAATATATGAACATCATTTTTGTCTCTTCATTATTTTTCATTAATTCACGCCATCATGAAACAAAATAAGAACCTGATACGACTCAATATTTTGATGTGGGTTACTCAAATGACTATTGAGATATTTCGAAATTACTGGATAATTTTAATCATGCATGAAGTATTATTTTGAAATTTTTGAAGTTTGTTATTTTTTCAGTCAAGGTCAAACTACATCTATTAGTCCTTATGAAAGCCTGAAAATGTTAATTCAACACCCTGTATTTCTGAAACTGAACACCATACCTGTCAATTATTTTCCTCCTTTGATATTGTCATGATATCAAAAAATCCCTGTTTATCAACTGTTGATTGATTTACGAGGTTGAAACAGATGGAAAATTAATCGTGAAAATCGAATAATATGGAATGTTTCGGTATTTGACCGACAACAATTATTCAAAACTGATAGATTTTCTCTGATTTGATGAAGGATGAGTTCCTCGAATTCTCAGATCCGGGGATTGGGGCTGTTGAACTATTGAAGTTGATGACTGATGCTTTTAGAACTGCGAACTTCCAGGAACTTGATATACCGGCTAGCTGATACACGGTGGGTGGTACATTAGACGTTTGTGGTGATCCAGACAACGGATCACTCCAAAGAAGCACTGGAGAGCATAATTGGACATTCTCTACCCAATAAAAATATTTTCAACAAAGCGATGTTGCCACTTCCATCAGAAAGTAGTAGCAACTTTGATTCATCGAATGGAACACCATGTATATGATAATATTATTTATATAATCTCTAATAATTTCTCGACAACTTCTACCTATACTTCCCTATCTTCTAGCTATCTGCTAACGTTTTCGGAATGAAAATAATGTAAATCTTTTTCTTCGAAATTCATGACAACCTATAACGATATTTGGTTTGGAGTTAGGTTATACTGAAATTCACTTTCTTTCTTTGTATATCATACGCATATACCGAACTCACCAAGTTCCGAACTAATGAGAATTAATTTATGAAAATGTCACTTCAAGATGGTATCCCCATTCGGCATTTGGTAAGCGGGCCATGATTACTATTCAACTGTAATGTTGTGACATTCTCCTAATAATATTGACATTGTTAACTGCTTTCTTCATGGCAGATCTGATTTTATTTGCATCCAAATCTCAGAATATTGCGATAATCATTTTTAACAATTCGTCTCTAGAAAGCACGAGAGCTTTGTGAACTTTTTCTTATAATATTCCCCACAGATTGAAATAGTTGTGTTTCAACGTTTTTGAATGTATTAGCATTTTCTGAAATGACGAAGATGCCGATATCATAAGGATACTGCCACAACGTTATTGTGAAATATTAATCGCGGCCTGCTTGCCAGAGACCCAGTGGAGGTACCATTTTGATAGACAAGTTAGGTGTAGGCGAAGGTATGGGTATGATATACATGAAATGGAAGCAAATTTCAGCAGCATTCAGAATTCATAATAATCGCAGATGGCACAATCATGTTCCATGAATATCCTGTGTATATTGCGTTGAAATATTGGCATATGCCATGGATATTCCATGTCCTCCAAAGCATATGATTTGCATAGTCCAGGGATATCCAAAGTCACTATTAAACAGATACCAGGGATGTATGTCTCTTCCAAAAGCTATTGGTAACATATGCTAGGGATATATTTTGTATTCATCACGTGAATGATGAGAATCAGCGTACAGGAGGTAGGTATGTGAGATACTAGAGGTTAGCGCTTTATATATCATATGATTCTCTTCTTCTCTTGATCAGTAGCCGCGATGAATTAAACAGGATCTGCAATGGGTATACATGAATAGCATAGCAAATATAATACTCGAATATAACTAGATACTGAATTGATCACAGCTGATTTCGATTGGTTGTCCATTTCTTTATCACGATTATATCTTCATGAACACAAACATTTCCTGGATTTTCCATTTAACAAATGGGTAGATATAAGTACTGGAAATCAACGAGGTACACCTAGGGATGTCCTTCTGGTACGTCCCTGGGATGTACCAAGTACGAAGAAAGGATATCCCTAGGACGTCCCAAGGATATCCCAGGGACATCCCTTCGACAAAAGAGAAAAAATGTAGGTCGAGTACGGATTGAACCCAGGACCTTTGGCTTATCAGGCACGCATCTTACTCCATTGGCTATTGAGCCTCCTGAAGATTTATGTACTAAACAGATTTATAAACAGGACTTGACTACAGAAACCTGAATAAATACAACTCTGTTAGGATTTGGGTATAATTATTATATCATTCTTGGGTGTTTAAAAATGAGGGGCATTATGCATGTACGATTTCTGTTTGCGAAAAATGGTAATTTCTCAAGAAGTTCTGAAACTTTATTCTTTTATATTTTCATTACGATTATTTTCCGAAAGAAAAACAAACATTTTCAAAAAAATTTAACCTAATACTTTGATGAAATTCAATGACTCTGATGTGAATGGATATTAGATATTCCAGGGACACGAATAGGATAACCTAGGGATATACCGGGCGGGATGTCCACTGGACAACCACTGCGCGACATCCCCTGGATGCCCCAATCATGTCCTTGTACCGCGGGACAAAAAAGGGACGTACCTAGGACATCCCTGTGTTGTTAGGGTTGGTATCAACACAATTTCAATTCAATGCCCCTTTTGTCTGTTCTCAATGAAAATAATCGGGTCATTCGCGTCCATGTTGATATCACGCAGGTGTCACGTCCTTCGATCACTAGGTGACTGTATAATGGATGTGACTGTGGACTATGAAACAAAAGGCGATGACTGACAGACTCGTGTCCATTTAAAATAGGTCAGCATTTCGACAACTTGATTTTGCAATATTCCTGAAATATTCGAAAAAATATCTATTGAAGTACCTTATAAATATTCTAAGGACATATTACAGGAATATCCTCTGATGATATTATATTGAGCCCATATTTATGAAATATTTCAGGAATATGGAAATATTCATAAAAAAATAGGATGTAGTGAACATATTTTAGGAATATGAGGTGCCGTCTGGGATATACACCGTACTCCTTTCATTTGAAATAATCAACCTTCAGTCACTTCTTTTTTACTATCCCGTATTGGAGTAACCGATATCAGGCTGGTGTGTGAAATACCTCCAAGTATAACTTCAAACTACATTTCGATACCATAGTACTTCTTACTTGGAGATATTGGCATTTTTAGAGGTCATGAAAACGGTGACAAACAGTTATAGGAAAATACCGAGAGAAGTTGTTGGGAAATCGTTGGAGATTCTTAAAATGATATTATCATATACAATATGTTACATTTGATGAATAAAAGTTTAGATCTCCATTCTCAATAGGAGTGGCTACACCTCATTTTTGTTATTAAACTACGAAAGCTACCACCCATATAAAGTGTTGTCAGTTGAATTCCAAAACATCCAATGAATAATGTACCCCATGAACGATTATTTCCTTAGTTACGAATCTGCTAATGGTATCCAAGCTCAAGAAGAAGGCGAATTGAAAGAAGGTGGCGAAGAAGGTATCCAATCAGCTGTAGGTTCGTTCTCTTATACCGCTCCAGATGGCACCGAAATCAAACTTGAGTACACTGCGGATGAAAATGGATTCGTGCCTACAGGAGACCATCTTCCTACCTCACCTCCAATTCCCCCAGAGATTCAGAAGGCTCTGGATGAGATTACAGCAGCTGGTGAAGGAAATGGAAATGGAAATGGTAATGGGGGAGGTAATGGAGGTGGCAATGGAGGAGGAGATGGCGGGGGCTATCGATACTAGGTGGGTTGAGACTAGATGAAAATAATAATATAGATAACAAATTTTGGTTTTCCTAACAGCAGGATCTGATGTCATGCAATTTCCACTATCAATAAAGTAGAAGTAGTAGGAGTAAAATGTTGGTGATGAAACTACTATAGAGACAATTTGTAGGCAACCCACAGGGCAAAAAATCATGCCAGTTTCATCACATTCTTGTAACCTTGATTACATGTTACGTTATGATATAGGGCACAATGAAGTATCCAGTTCTCCCCAGTTCCGTTAAATGTCCTTCAACATAAAAAAGCATTTCTAAGTTACGCATAGCTCATCATATTGAGGTTACCTTCATGTTCCAATTATCATTACATTAACGTAACTATTATTTCAACTGAACGAAGGCACTTTGACGTTCCTTTTGTTGCAGTTATTGATTCAAAACTTTCACTACTTTTATAATGGAATGGTTACCACTATTCTGACGTTATTGTTTTATGTCTTCGAAGACATATTCGTTACTTATTTTCACTGGGTGTTACCCTAGTTCTTCAACAACTTCAGTTTTCTTCATCTTTCATAAAAAAAATATCCCTACACTATTTATGTTTTCAAAATCTACAATATGTACCTAATATCAGCTTACGTGCTCATAATGCTAATTGAATTCAATAAAATCATCGTATGCTATTAAATTGTGTTCCTGAGGAAGAAAAATAATGTTGTAAAAGAGATAAGGTTGAAGTGTATTTTCAATCCTAACTTGATATGGCAACTATTACACTCTACAGAGTATTAAAAATTTAATGAAAAAAGAACACTCTATGATTGCTGCATTCGGTATGTATAAAGAAGATTCTTTTATGCACCAATGTTTATATGTAAGAAGGTGACTTGTTATTCAAAACAAAAACGTCAATATCGAACGAGTATTTTTAGAAGTGCATTTTGGTCTATACAACTATAGAGTGCAATACGTCGATTGGTTGGGCGAAATATATTGATAATATCATTTGTATCGATTTGAATATAACGATGAATACTCATTAGGGCTACACTACTTGTTGTTTACGCTGATCAGTCGAATGATTCCTCGAATAAGTTCTTAGTTTCTCCAAAGATTTGCTCTTGTTCTTTTAATTCAGGACGTTGTGCAATTATAAGGGTTGTAGCTTGGTTGCGAAGTTCCTAATGTGCGTACCTCCAATTTGGATGTTTTCGAATTCACTTAGGTCACTTTCTCATTAATTGTAATTTCGGAAGGGAGGGGTAAGCCCCCTGCCTCTCCCTCCCCTTCCGCTACGCCACTGCAACACAGACATGATGGACATTCGCGGGGCAAACAAGGAAAGGAATATGAAGAAACACCGAATCAATAATCAGTATTCATATATCAGTCCTCATCTCAAAATCATCTAGTTACCCACCTATATCAAATCAACCTAAGTATTGAGTAGAAGATTATCGAGGTTCCTCCCCAAGTCTTTTTCGATCAGTGTCCACATGTCCTATACTCTGGTACCAAGTTATTTTCGCATATGCCTGTCGAGTACCTACTGCTGAATGTCATATATCTGAAACTTGATATTTGATAATTCACACTTTTCGAGACGTCACAAAAAGTGTTGTACTAACCTAAAAAGTCAACTTCTTCGGCAAACCTTTGTACTCAGTGAATAAAATTATCAATAAAATATGTTTGTACTTCACAGTAGGTTGTTGCCTTGCTGGTTCTGAAGAATATAATGAATGAATAATAAAATAAATAACAAAAAATTTCAAACAAAGGCTGTCGAAGTGTCGAGCGACAATGCCTCACGTCATGATTCATGAATTCATCAATTCATAATCTCAAACCACAGAATCACAGGAATCATCATTGGACCTCACCTTGATGATAATAACAGTAATATTTGTGATCAATAACATGAACCCTTTGGAATATATTTATTAATTAACAGTTATCATAACATGACAAGTTCCTAATCATATCACTGACTGATGTCATCCAACCTCGCCGCCTATATCTCTGTATACATACAAGGCATATACTGCATATGAATACATTACATTAACCACTGTTTCAATTCACAATTATTCTATCAAACACTAACACTGAACAAAAATATAAAAAAACAGCACAATGCAACCACTTTCGATCCAAAATATAATGAATAACTTGAGTTTTACGCTTCAGATGCGCTATTAGGGCCCTACAAAATACATTCTGGAGTATTCGAACGAAATGGAACAATTACAGCTTTTTCTATTTCTGTTCACACTTTTGTTGAAGTTGAACGTGAAACATATCTGTCACTTTTTCGATTCAAAAACAGCGTTGTTGATGTTATACTGTGTTCTTGAAAAGTATTTCGGAATACCTTTTCTGATGGATATGGATACGTCACGCTGATTTTGAGAGTACTAATTAATTTTTCTTTCAAATTTTTTCAGATCGAATATCACTTCATATGTACCAGGAGCTGAGAACCCAAAAATGTGTTATTTATTTTACCGAAATAGTAGTTTTAGGTAATGTATCTACCTGAATGTATTCAAGTATGTTATTGTTTAGTAGTATAGCTTATGAATATACTGATTATCGATATGTAAATGTTAGATAATTTAGTACCTTATGATGATTGACGACTGTGCGATGAAATGGATAATGTGTAATTTTTTTCTGATGAACCGATATCATGATATACAGGGTTTCAGGATTGTAATTTCACATCGTGATTATATTTACATAATAGATATGTTTTCAGGTGCCATTATCCAGACAAACAGAATGCTGAAGATATCATAGTATATGAGACAATATTGAAACGTTATTTATTTAGTAAAGATACCTTCATGAAAGGAGTCTCTGGCGATTTCATTAATTTCATTCAATTTGGGTATTGCATGAAACTAGGACTGCTATTTGGTCAACTATTCAAAAGAAAATGAACTCCGAAAAATTAGTTTTATAAACAAGTATCTACAATTAAATTCAGAATTCAACATCCTGTTGCTCTGTAACAAATATGTATATCCATAACAATATACATATTATTTTTTATGATTAGGTTGAAACCGACTCGCAATTATTGCAGAGTTAGTTTCCTGTCATCCTGTATATTTCATGTTAGTTCTATGACTGTACCTCTGCATTACTATTTGATATACAATAAAAGTTTTCCTTTCAATAGTATCTTTTCACTAGCCGTATAAAAAACGTTTCTTTAATATACTAGGTGTTTGAGCCAAATCTCAAACTTCCCCAATGTTAATTATATTTTTATAATCTGGCAACAACGTTTAGTAGGAAATTCATTACTTCAGATATTCTCCGCTGGCGACGCCACTTCAGAATATTTGAAAAGGTTCAGTTAGCATATATATCGTAAAAAGGCTAGCACCGGTGTGATAATTAATTAATTAATCGTGTAGCAATCAAATGGTGTCATATTAGTATTTCAGTTCGATTAAAGGGTCTCAAGAGTGGCAATGATTCATATGGAAAGGGACATAATCAAATTCTCCTAAACTTCCTGTTATTCCTTTTCCTTTCCTTACCTTCATCTATAATAAAAAGCCGATGAGCAGCACGTTCCGGAAATTCTGGGTAAGTCATTTTCCAATTTATTAGTGAACATTTTGAATTACATCTCTTATGTAACATTGGTCCTTCGAGCTGTATTGGAAATTGGATCACTCAAGACCTGAAGGTTACATATTACCTACGTTTACCTTATAAATAGGTATCTAATATAGTATTGCAATTAGCGTCGAGTTTTTTGTTATTTTATTCAGATATATCGAATATCGAATTAAAATAAAAAGAGGCCCAATTTTTTTATTTCGGTCATACGTTTGTATAGAATTTGGATCGGTCAAGTTCATTGTCGGGTTTTTTGTTATTCATTTGATTGCTACAGCTGATTTGTTTAGATCCATAATTTTATTTATTTCGTTAGATAGATATTGGGAAAATATTTCACGGGCATTGTTGCACTCATTTGTTTTTTCTATTTGATTACATCCTGAAAATCGGGTTTTCAGGTCGAATAAAATTATTTATCTTGAACAAAGTAGTTTACCTTCAGAAAGGAAAAAATATATATACACACACCAGCACAATTAGGGAAACGGGCAAAATTTACACTAAGTATGACATCAATTTTCTTATGAACCCATCGCTGGATCAAATTTTTCGTTTCCAAGAATTATAGCTTGATTCTTCACGAATACATCTGACAAATAACCATCCTCAAACGATTCGTCTTTATATCATATACAGGTATGTAAAGAATGTACGGATTTTTCAGTATTCTCAAAGACATTCTGTGGAGTGAACCACTGATGATTGAAACGATTTCTCAACACCAAATTGTGACCAACTCTAATCCGAATATTTTCATTTTTCATTATGATATCTCAATTATTACAGAATTCATAGTTTTAAATAAAGGGTGGATATTGATCTCAATTTCACCGTCCTCTACACTCGAACTGGGGGGATAAGAAAATCTTCCTTAAAAAATGATTGATGTCATCGGAAGCATGAGGAGACGGATGACTGCTGTAATTAGGGAGGTCACACGCGTCATTGAAATCATTGTTGTTGTTTTGGATCTTTATTGTTCGTTGAGTTAATGTTATTGTTATTCAATGAAGGTTTTGAGTGAATTACTTATCTTTTTAATCACCTTATTTTCAAGAATTCTTGACACAATAGATTGATACGTGAAACTGAGAGCAATATTTTCAAAAAACAATTTGAGAAATGACACATTTTCGGATCCAATTCGTGGTAAGACCAATCTCTACCTTTTCTTTGAAACTCTGTATTATCTTATATTAGTATAAATAAAAGAAGAAAATGTTCGGAAAAGATCAGGCTACAATTTTGTGATACAGACTGGTGTCAATTGTCCTTGATTCACTCCACAGGATGTCTTAAAAAATACCGAAAAATCCGTACTTTCTTTCCACCTCTGTATATGATATAGAGACGGATCATCCGAAGGTGTTTATTCGTCACAAGTATTCGTGAAGAATCAAGCTACAATGTTTTAAGAAAAAAAATTGAATCGAGCGATGGTTCCAAGAGAAAATCGATGTCAAACTTAGTGTGAAGTTTGCCCGTTCCCCTAATTGTGCCGGTGTGTATATATGTATGATTGTTGCAACGGAAGCAGAACGGAATTTGAAGGTTTTAGCGGCAAAAAAGGAACCTTTATTTTGTATGTTGCAAACACTGATGGATTTATCTAAAAACCTGTCGAATGAGATATCACGGAATAGAATTCAGATATTGTATCAATCAATGGATACAACTCGTGAAGATTTGTTGAGGGTGATTGATGAGGTTGCTGTAGCAAGTTTCGAAGTAAATGAAGATTATGTGCCGAATTTGGATCAAAATAAGGATAGTAATCAAGGTGCTCCAAATAATGCAGCAAATTCACAGGCTGGAGTTACACGTAGTTTGCCTAGTCTACCGAAAATCTAACTTCCAGAATTTCCGGGAGATATTAGAGAGTGGGAAACTTTTTATTCTGTGTTCAATAGTTTGATTCACGAAAATGTTAATTTAACGGATATGGATAAAGTACATTATTTAATGGGACGGCTCAGGAATTCAGCTTTGACTGCTTGTTCAGGTTTAGCTCCAACGGTGGGTAATTATAATATTATTTGGAAATCATTGTTAGATAAATATCAGGATCAACAAGCCTTGGCTAATAGTTATTTTTATCAAATAATGGATTTCAAACCAATGTTTCGTGAGACATAAAAATCTCAACTTCTTTATAGAAAGATTCGATTCTGCGGTAAATGCTTTGAAAAATTTGAACATCCAAGATTTGGCGGATTATATATTAGCTTCTTATGCTTTGTCTGAGTTGGATAGCGACACGGTGAAGTCATTCGAAATGTCTAGAAAACACACTGAAATACCCACGTATGAAGAAATTAGTCAATTTGTGAAAGAACAGTGTAAAATATTGAATCTAAATCGATCTGTAGGTAGTAGTAAAATTAATAATGATTTCAGTAAATCACGCGGTCCGAAATCTTTCTTTGTTAATCACAATAAACCTGGAACGTCGGAAAAATCGAATTCTTGTCAATATTGCCATACAGGGTGGCACTTTTTGAGTCGATGTGAAAAATTCAAACGTTTGATTCCAAGTAAGCGATATGAAATAGTTAGAGATAATAACTGGTGTTATAATTGTTTGTCCCCGAATCACGGCGTTCGTTCATGTCCCTCGGACAGAACATGTAGTGATTGTGCAAGGAAGCATCATGTTTTATTACATACCGGAAGAATAAATGCTGTGTCATGTGTAGGTCAGACAACTTCTACGAAAGAAGATTCTACAACAATTTCGGAGTCGGCTACTGATGATCCAGTCATTTTGACTTCTATCACTTGTCATAATCAGAAAAATGATAGTATGGTTTTGCTATCCACAGCGGTTGTGGATGTGATTAATAGTCCTTTCGGGCAACGTTCGGCTAGATTACTTTCAGATACAAGGAGTCAAACTCACTTGGTTACGGAAAAGTGTTGTAAATGGTTAGGAATAAAAATCACGAAATTTTATTCTTCGGTTCAGGGACTTGGAAATAATTCTCAGATAGTTGAAGGCACAGCACATTTAAGAATAGCTTCGCGACATTGTGTCACTGAACAGTATACAATGAAGGCACTGGTGGTAGATACAATTTCGGAAAAGTTACCCAGAACAAAAGTACAATCTACTTTTGTATCGGATTTAGTAGACATTAAATGGGCAGATGAAACTCATTATGAGCCAGGGGAGACCGATGGCATTATCGGCGCGGAACTTTTCTTACTATATTAGGAACTAATCGCATCAATGATTCAAATGGAACACCATTGGCAGTTCAAACAACATTGGGTTACGTGATTATGGGAAAAATGTCAACTAACAATAATTCGGATACTCATGGGATATATTTAACTTTGACAGATGAAATATCAATTGAGGAATTATTAATTAAATTTTGGGAAATGGAACAAGTACCACACTATGCGTCACCGGGTCCGGAAGAAACGGAATGTGAGAAATTATATAAAAGCACGGTGAAGCGGGATATTTCAGGGCGGTTTACAGTGGCGTTGCCTTTCAAGGGTTCTCCAAAAACTTTAGGCGACTCTAAACAAGCGGCTAACAGGCGATTAATATCACTAGAGAAAAGATTAGCGAGGATTACGGATCTGCGCAAGGCATATAATGATATAATGAATGATTTCATTGAGAAAAAACATATGAATCTAATAAAAGATGATGGAGCGGACGGACCGTCATAGTATATACCACATCACGCGATATTTAAACCTGAGAGTATTAGTACTCCGGTTCGGGTAGTTTTGGATGCTAGTGCGATTACAGATAGCGGTGTATCGTTGAACGATTTATTATATAATGGCCCAAAATTGCAGACAGACATATTTACATTGCTTGCTAATTAATTTCAGATTATTTCGTGTGGCATTAACTTCGGATATACGTCAAATGTATAGACAAATTGATATGATGGAAGAACATCGTCGATTTCAACGGGTTTTATGGCGATTCAATCAAGACGAGGAAATACAAACTTATGAAATAGGGGTTGTTGCATTTGGGGTGAAATCTTCACCTTATTTAGCTTTGCGAACCGTAAAGCAACTTCTCTATGAACATGGTGATGAATTTCCTTTACCATTCAAAACAATTTCGAGAGATCTTCATATGGATGATTTAGTTACAAGTATACATTCGGATGTAGATGCATGGCAATTATATGAAGAATCGATAGCCATTTTTCTAAAGGGAAAATTCGATCTAACGAAATGGTCTACAAATTCAAGGAAGTTATTAGAAAAAATACCCATAGAAAAACGGTTATCAAGGACGGTAGTATTTAAATCGGACACAAAAATCCTCTGTATGCAATGGAATCCTGAAACAGATGTTTTGAAATTCAGTT